ATAGGTGATAAAACAGTAATGAAAACCCAGAGAATTGTAGCATCCCTTTGGAAACGGGTCACCTGAGGTGCTGATGGTTTAAAAATGAGACCATGCCATGAACTATAAGGTACCAGTAATGTTCCCCATCTTAGCTCGGGTGGTGAGTTCATGAGTATTCTTCTCTAGATGAGCATGCAAATTTTATCAATGCTTTTACATATGCATTGAATAGGAATTCAGTTTGGGAATATTCATCCTTAACATCTACCTATGATAGACCTCCTATTTGTCCCCAGAGACATTCTTTTCTGTCTGTCAGCCTTCTCTCGATTCTTGTTCATAGGTGGTAAAAACAGTGATGAGATCTTTCAAATACAGCAACTGCAGGAAGTATGAGAGAAACTTCAGGTATAATTGTGGTCAGGTAATTCCAACCTATGTTTCAGACCACATCTGGAAATTATGCATAGAAGTGGGGGGGGCGGTTCATGTTGTGTGATATTAAGGCCCTCCCATGGGATATGTGTGTGTGTGTGTGTGTGTATGTATATATACATATGTATATGTATATATATATATGTATATGTATATGTATACACACACATATATGTATATATATATATATATATGAGAGATATGGGAGATATCTCTCACATGAGAGATATGATTGATATATATATATATGAGAGAGAGATTAGTTCCACTAATTCATTCATTCATTGGTTGCTTCTTGTATGTGTTCTGACCAAGGATCAACCCCACAGCCTAGGTATGTGTCCCATCTGGAATCAAACCCACAAGTTTTTGGTGTATGAGAGGGCATTTCAACAAACTGAGCCACCTAACCAGAGCTCCCTTCTCATTTGTGAAAGCTTCAGTAATGCCACACTATGTGACTCTCTTCCTGATACTGGTTTCCAGTCACCTGGAAAGGCCATCCCTTACCTCATTGCCTGGTAGGCCCAGCTCAGACACTGCTCCCAAAATGAATTCTCTGCTGTCCCTGCACTTGATGCATTCACAGTGGTGGATGTGTCCCTCAGATGTGTGGTAGTACATTTTTAAAGATCTACATTTTTATATTTAAATATTAATCACAGCAACAGAAATGTTACTTCTATAGAGTTGAACAAACTAAAAGGAAACAATTATAGTTGATATACAATATTATGTTAGCTTCAGGTGTACAACATAGAGATTAGACACATATAACTTACAAAGTGATCCCCCCAAAATTCTAGTACCCACCTGACACTCTACACTAGCTATTACATTATTGACTATATTCCCTATGCTGTACTTTACATACCTGTGACTATTTTTATACCTGGCCATCTGTACTTCCTAATTCCTCCATCTTTTTCATCTAGCCCCCTCCTCCCATCTAGTGACCACCAATTTGTTCTTTGTATCTGAGTCTGATTCTGTTTTGTTTCTTCATTTATTTTGTTCTTTAGTTTCCACATATAAGTGAAATCACATGGTATTTTTCTTTCTCTGACTGACTGATTTTACTTTGCATAATGCCCTCTAGGTCCATCAATGTTGCCACAAATGACAACACTTTATTTTTCATTATGGCTGAGTAATAAGGAATTATTGTTTTATATAAAATAGGTTTTCTGGTTCTTAGTGGAGGGGTGGAGAAGATCCTAATATTATTTTAAGTCATATGCTTAGTTTTGTATTTCCCCCTCTTTGGACAACTCCCGTGGCGTTTAAAGTACGTGAAACTTCCAATAAACTCGGTGTTCCTTCTATGTCTCCTGTTGGGTCATTTCTCCACCAGAGTGTTAGTGTGTTGTAAGGTCCGCTTCTCCGACTACTGTCTGCAGCAAGGCGCATGCCATTTCGTTCGGCCCATGCTGCTGGCTGTCCCAACTGCGTGGGTCTGCATAGCTGCCTCGGCGGGCAGAACCATCAGCTTTCATCTTAGCCAAAGCATCAGTGAATGGGGCCCAGGCATTTCAAGAGAACCTTAAAAAAAAAAAATTGGAATACTGTCTAAAGAAAGTCCTAAAGAGGAGATGGAGAAAGGGGTAAAATTTTCCTGAAAGGGTAGCTGCCACTCCTTCATATAAAACTGAGAGGTCATAACCCCGGATATACCATTTTCATTTGACCAGTTAAGCCTTTGGCTCCCTTGCTCTCTAATCATTCAGTCTAAGTTGTCTTGCCCCTGAGTGGAGGCGTCCAGAGGACGGAGAATAAACGAGGCCTCCACCAGGAAAATCTCAGCTTCCGAGATACAGAGCTGTTGTAGTTGGTATTTCTTCCCACACGGTGGCACTGCTGCACTGCGAAACACTCTCTGAGGGCTCCAGCAAAATTATTTTCACCTAATACGACCTTGCCCCCCCCCCCCCTTTAATCTGGGGGATTTCATAGTGCTTTTCATTAGATCGCCTGAGAGAAGACAGGTATCATTTCAACATGAGGAAATCTAGGAATAGGGTAATCTCCTCAGATCTTTGGTAGGCATTTACAGATCAGGCATAGAACCCGTGCATTTTTAAAAATTCATCTATTCCACATCTATTTATTGTTACCTACTTTGTGACAGGAACTGTTGTAAACAGAAGTAAAACAAACAGAACTATTACCATGGCGCATTTATTTTTAGCAAGGGAGTTAAACAATACACATACAAACACAAGTATAGAACGTCATATCAGACAGTACAATAACAATTACAAAGCATGTTAATGGAATATTATGGTAGATGGTGCTATTTTCTCATTACACATAGAATCAAGTTCACTTTAGTTTCAATCCCCACTGCAAACATTGCTTCAACCCTACCAGTTGAATTCAGTCATTTTTTTTTTCCCAAGAGAGAGGAAGGGAATGGAGTCTGGATGGTGGGCGCAACACAAGGCTTTTTATCTCCTTGCCTGCCACCCCTGCCTGGCACTCCCACCACCAACATTGCCACAATAGGAAAAAATAGGAGAAAGAGAATTTAATCTTAATTTGCATTATTCTTTCCAAAACTTTTCATCTGATACTTTTCTCCTTCAGCCTAAAGAACTTCCCTAACTTTGCAGATGTGCTCATGAAAAATTCTTTTGGCTGCCTTAAAAATGTTGTTACTTTGTTGGATATAGAATTCTCAGTTGATGATTGGTTTTCCCTATTTCCAGCACTTTAAAGAAGTCCTTTCATTGACTTCCAACATTTCTGATGAAAAGTCAACAATAATTCATGCAGTGCCTCCCCCACGGCTACAGTATTGTTTTTATCTACTGCCAACATTTCCTCTTTATCTTTGATTATCAACAGTTTGTTTATAACATTCCTCGATGTGATTGTAGCTGTTTTCATCCTGCTTCGACCTTACTATGCTTTTTGAATCTGCAATTTTAAGCTTTTGCCAAATAGAGACAGTTTGATTCATTATTTCTTCAATTCTTTTTTGTCCTTTGGGCACCTCTGATGCTTTCAGGGAAATGTTTTTCATATTTTGTGCAGTTTATATCTGTTATCTGCAGGAAAATTGGCCCAGTTTTTTTTAATGTTACATTTCTGTGGAGGATACTAGGGATCTGCAGGGTAGACAAGAGGGTGGGGTAGGAGAATGTAACCCCAATGCTTTCTGTAGCTCTCCAATAACTGTATACAATCCTCTGTAGTTCATACATCTCCATAAATTTGACCCCAGAAATGAATACTCACCATGCATCCACACTGCACCAACAGGAGGGCAAGTGGATAAGATATGAAATACAGAAGAAGCAGGTGAAGAATTTGCTCAGTATTCAGGACTTTGAGCCCAACAATAGCTATTTTTTAATCACTTGTGGTAATCAATACTTTTTACATCGTAATTCTTGAAAATTGAGCTAAAGAAAAATGCTTCATGATATGAAAAGATGATCCTGAGATACAATGAAGAAAAAATGTTTCAAAAATCAGTTACCATATAATTCCATTTTCCTAAATTATTTGATTGGGCATAGAAATCTCAACTTGGGTATGAAAGAAAAATACGTATTAAGCTACAGGCTAAAAATGTTAATGGTGTTAGCAGCAGCCCCAAGCTCTGGTATTCTGGACGACTTTCATTGTTTTTTACTCTTTTACTCATTTTTCGACAATAAACATTGGAATTTTCCCTAGTCTCTATTCCTCTTCTCTCCTTTATATTTCTCCATAGCCCTTTTCACCATTCGATTTACTATTGATTGTACTCATTCATTTGTGGTTTGTTTCCATCCACTTGAAAATAAGATCTAAGCGGGCACGAAATTTTACTTATATTTTTCCTCTGCTGGAGCCCCTGATGAAAGGTTCCCCTCCCCCCTTATTTGGTTCAACTTCCAAGGAAGGTAATATGAGTTCCCTATACCAGGCACTACTTCCACTCCGGTAAGAGTCAGAACGGGGTTCCATCCTCGCAGTCAGGTCACAAAGATGTCCTCTCATTCACTTTCTCCGAATAATAATAATAATAATAATAATAATAACAACAATAATAATATTCCCATTTTACAGGCGAGAAATGTACTAATTGACTGTAGTCACAGAATTGATCAAACACAGTCAAGGTTTCCAGTCGCTATTCTTAGTGTCAGAAAACAGCCCAGAAAGAAAATCACACTCCCAGGGACAGACTCGGGCCAGAACCTCAGGACACCGCGGTTACGCAGACACAGATCACAAAGCCATACCAGTGGCACGCCAAGGGCGCAGCCGTCCTTCACCCGGTTCTGCGGCAGCAATGGGATACGGTAACTAAGGACGCTTTGGTCTCCAAGGCCCGGGAGGGTAGGAAGGAAGAGGTCACTTTTAAGCGCCTGCGCACACCCACGTACAGCCCCGCCTCGCTCCCGAATCCCAGGACCACGCCTTCGAGCACTGTGACAGACAGGTGCAGGCTGCTCTGGAACTGCGTTTTCACTTTCCATCCTCAGCGTCCCTCTCCTTTAAGCTACGCCTAGTCCCCGCCCCTCGCGCTAGACTCCTCCCTCCGGCCTCTCTTAAGCCGACCGCCCGGAGAGATTCAGTGCCTGCGCAGTGGAGTCAGAGTGTCAACTCCCGAAGTCCTTCGGGTGAGAGCCGGTGGGTGGTCTGGGTGGTCTCGAGTCGGAGCCCGATGGCCTGCCAGGGCCGGGCAAGCGAGGTGAGACGCGGGAACCAGGGTCTGGAGCCGCTGCGCTGTTGTCCCTGAGCCGACTACATTTCCCAGAGACCCGCGTGCAGTGTGTTTGGGTCGTAGGGTGGGCGTGCTGTGGCCGTGGTTGATCCAGGTTCGGCCAGGCGTATGGAGGCTGCTGAGTGTGAGAGACGAGGGTGACAGGTCACCGAGTGTGAGCGGCCCGGGGAGACTGAGCGGGAGACTGAGCGGGAGAGATCGCGGTGTGCGACCAAGAGAGACCTGAGAGACCGGCGAGGGGGGGGCGGCGGGGGGGGGAACGGTTGTTGTGTCCGGCATGTGAGGTTATATGAGAGTGTGTGTGTGCGAGTGTGACAGGGACCGGTGTGTGTGTGTGTGTCTGAGTGTGAGAGACCAGTGTGTTGTGTGTGTCTGTGTGTAAGAGAGAAACAGATGAAAAGAGCAATTAGAATGTGAGAGTCCAGCCCTGGCCGGGTGGCTCAGTTGCTTGGGCCTCCTCCCATGCACTAAAAGGTTGCGGGTCACATCTCAGGTCGGTCGCGTTTGGGAGGCAGCCAGTTGATGTTTCTTTCTCTCCTCCACCCTCCTCTCTCTTTAAAATCAATAAACATACTCTGCAGTGAGGATTTAAAAAGAAAACATATGGCAACGAGAGTTACTAACTGTAGGAGACACCTTCAGTTCTGGGTGACAGACAGGAGGGGAAACCAAAGAGCTGAGGGCAGGTGAGAGTGAAGGTGGTAGAACTGGGTGCTAAGGGATCCATTGTTCCAGAGAGAGAGGATGGTGAAGCCCGTGGGGGTTTGGATAAAAGGAGAGTAACTCTGACCTCTGGAATTTAGGAGTCAGATTTTAAAATTCTAAACTGTGTCAAACCACAAAGCGGGAAGGGAGAGCAAAGTAGGGGAAATAATAACTATTTCAAAGGATTATTTCAAAAATAAAGCAAAGGAATATAATCTATGCAGAGTATCTCGCACACCTATTATTATTGTTATTATTATTTTCATTCCTCACCTGGAGATATGTTAATTGATTTTAGAAAGAGAGAAAGGGAAAGAGAGAGAAACATCTATCTGCTGCCTCCTGTATGTGCCCCTACTGGGGACTGACAACCTAGGTATGTGCCCTGACCTGGAATCAAACACACAACCTTTTGGTGCAAGGACGATGCTCCAACCACCTGAACCACTTGGCCAGGGCAATTTTTATTTGTTATAAGACCAAAGAATGAGAAGGCAACTTTTAGGAAAAACACTAAATTTTGGACCTCAAACATAAGAGAAACAGTTACACATTACACCCTCCTCAATAGCCATAGGTCCCCATAATCTCCCAGTTATGTGGGCAGAAGAAAGCTGGAAGGTGGGACTAGGGAGACAGATATTAGGCTGGTGATTCTGGGAGTGCAGAGCAGACCTCCTCACTCACTATCCTTTCTCTTCCCTTAGCTTTGCCCTCCCAGGACACTGCTGTTCTCCAAGAGAAGACAGGAAGAGAAGGTGAAAATGACTGTTGAACTAATGAAAACCATACCACAGGTTAGTTATTTCCTTTCTCCACCATGAAATACATTCTTCTTAGGACTTAGTAATGACTCTTTTTTTTTGGAAAATTCCTTGATGAATCACCTTGTCCCAGGGTCTGGGGATGACTTCTCCCAGAGGACACTGTCCTTACACTGCCTTACACAGTGGGTAAGTGAAATTGGGTATGATGAAGCACAGAGCCTCCTCTTCTTACATCATGAACAGGAGAGGGCTCTTTCCCTCCATGGGGCTCTTAGTAAAATAATAGTGAGCTGGGTTTCAAGCTAAATGAGCATTAAATAGCCCTCTCCTGTTCATAGAATGCATCAGAATCATCCCCCTAGCTGAATTTTGTCCAAATCTCTAATTATAACCCTAAAATCTTCTTTTAAAATTAAATTTCTTTCTCTTTTTTAATCCTCACCCCAGGATATGTATATTGATTTGGGAGAGAGAGGAAGGGAGGGAAAGAAAGAGAAACATTGATGTGAGAGATCAAAATTGATTGGTTGCCTCCTGTGTGCGACCCAACCAGGGATCCAACTCCCAACCTAGGTATATGCCCTGACTGGGGATCAAACCCACACACTAGGTATGTGACCTGACCAGGAATGGAATCCACAACCTTTTGTTTTATTGGATGATGCTTCAACCAACTGAGCCACCTGGCTAGGGCTATCCCTAAATTCTTGAAGTTTTTCTTTAGTTTCTACATATGAATTCAAAGCCTCATTTGTTCACCTAAAAAATTTCATCCTACTTAATTTTTCCAAATTTAAAATTTAATAAATACGCTTAGAACAAAATTAAAAGGTCTTCAATATTCCCTCTTGCCTCCCAGTTCTTCTCTTATGAGACAGTAACTTCTCAGCTTCCATTTCATTCAGGGTCAATCTATGTATGGAGAGATACTGTTTTCTCTTCCTTCATAGTTAGTGTTTTGTTTAAAAAAACTTTCACTACCCCTAGAGAATGTAGATATTTTATTTTTCCACCTAAAACATGTGTTTTACCCATCACAGTTAAGTTTCTGATAAATTAGAGTTGATTTTTGTGATTTTGTTTTCTATGAGTATAAGGTTCCAAATTACCTTAAATTGACTTTACATTAAATTGTTACAGTAAATGGTCCTGTCTGGTGTGGCCCAGTGGTTTGAGTGCCAGCCTGCAAACCAAAGGGTCGCTGGTTTGATTCCCAGTCCAGGCACATGCCTGGGTTGCAGGCCAGGTCCACAGTAGGGCATGCTCGAGAGGCAACCACACACTGATATTTCTCTCTCTCTCTCTTTCTCCTTCCCCTCTCTCTAAAAAATAAATAAATAAAATCTTAAAAAAATAGTTACAGTGAATGTTTAACCTATCATGATAAGTAAGGCAGAGTTTCATTTTTTTTCAGTTACCTGTCCAGTTGACCCACTAGCTGTTATTGAATGATCTCTTTCTCACTGATTTTGCTTGACACCTACATGTTCCATTAAATTCCTGCGTGTATTTGATTTTGTTGCTGGGCTAATTTCAGTTTTACTTGTTTTTAATCTTGTAGTACAAAAGTACACATTTTGCCCTGGCCGGGTTACTCAATTGGTTGGAATATCGTCCTATGCACCAAAAGGTTGCAGTTTCGATTCCTGGTCAGGGCACATGCCTAGGTTGCAAGTTCAAGTCCCAGTTTGTGAGCATATGGGAGGCACCTAATCAATGTTTATCTCAATGTTTAATGCTGGGTGATTCCTCATATTGCTTCCCAGCTTACTCTGGTATGGCATAGCATAAGAAATTGCATTCTAGGCCCTGGCCCGGTGGCTCAGTTGGTTGGAGCATCATGCAGTGCATCAAGAGGTTGTGAGTTCCATCCCCAGTCAGGGCGTGTATGGGAGGCAACCTGTTGATGTTTCTCTCGCTGTTTCTCTGTCTCTAAAAGCAATAAAAACATGTCCTCAGGTGATGATTTTTTAAATATTGCATTCTAAATATATTATTTTAATTGTATTAGGAAAAAAATCACCTACATCAATTCAGTGTTGTTCTCACCTGAACACTAAATCCTGTAGAGTACCATTTGCAAAGTATCAATTTAGATATTCTTTTTGTTCCTGTTTTTGAAAGTTCCACCATAGGTGTGGGTCCTGCCTTGAAGCCTTGGTTTACTGTCCTGTGGCTACCTGTCGATATTTCCCAATGATGGGAAATGGGTTAGTACAGTTGTACACAATGCAGTTTAACTCTTCAGTTAGTGCTATCTTAGGTTGGAGCTTGTGTCTTCATTTCCAGGTCTATTTCTAACATAATATAGGGACATCTTAACACTTCAGGTTGGAGTCATGTGTGGACATGAACATTGCTTAATCCAGAATGTATTTGTGTCATTTCAGTACTTGGTGACATTCAAAGATGTGGCAATAGACTTTTCCCAGGAGGAATGGGACTGGCTGAACCCTGCTCAAAGGAGTTTATATAGGAGTATGATGTTGGAGAACTATCAGAGCCTGGTATCACTGGGTAAGGACCTTTTCCTCTGTGCGTAATTCAGAATTTATGTTTAGGGGCTCTTGACATTTTTAGTTATAAATAAAATTTTTTATATTGTGTAGGTCAGAATAGAATCAGGGAAGAAAGAGGATATTTAGGGACTAATGGAAATTTCAGACTTAATGTTTGATTATCTATCAAATATTCCATGGGTATGATTTTTAAGCAGTTGGGACCCCAGGCAATAATGTGACAGTTACTGGTCTCCTGCACTCAGTAGGCAGTAACAAGGTTCACCAAGAATGTAGCTGGATTACTATAAATTTAGAATATCAATTTTAAAATTTGTATCTTTTTATCAACATGTAACAAATGAACCACTGAAGCACAAACTGTGAACATGTCTTAACTTGTAATCAGAGAAACTAACATGGACACTTCTTAGGCCTGGGATCAACTCACTGGGTAGACTAGCTTTCTGTTCTCTAGAAGGTCCTTGTATCCCACTTGTAACTCACTGAGCATCTGAAACTGAATTTATGTCTTTTATTAAAATTGAGACATTTTTGGCCATTATATTATTAAAATACTTTTTCAGCCATCTTCTTCTGGGACTTTGATTACAAATATTTGATATTGTGCCCAAGAAACTAAGGGTTTTTTACTTTTTATAATCTTTCTCTCTGTTTTTCAAATTAGATCATTTATTTTCTTATCCTCTTTAATATCTTATTAAGCCCATGTAGTAAATTTTAAAACTTCAAATACTGTACTCTTTTTTTAATAAGGGATTTTTAAAAATTATGAATTGATGTTGAATTTTATCCTATGTGTTTTGTTCTTATTTTTATTGTTTTTTCAGATTTTATTTATTTATTTTTAGAGAGAGGGACAGAGAGAGAAAGAGAGGAGAGAAACATTGATGTAAGAGAGATAATCAGTTGTTTGCCTCTCACGCTCCCTCCACTGGGGACCTGTCCCAGAACCCAGGCATGTGCCCTGACTGGGAATCAAACCAGCAACCTTTTGGTTGACAGGCCAGCCAGCATTCATTCTCCTGAGCCACACCAGCCAGGGCCAAATACTGTATTTTTTAATTCTAAACTTTCCACTTGGTTCTCTTTTATAGTTTCTATTTCTCTGCTGAGAATTTTTTATATTATTAAATATAGATACAATAGCTGCATTTTTTAAAGATTATATTTATTTATTTTTTTTGAGAGAGGGAAATGGAGGAAGAAAGAGAAGAAGAAAAACATTGATCAGTTGGTTGCCTCTTGCACTCCCCCAACTGGGAACATAGCCTACAACCCAGGCATATGCCCTGACCGGGAATTGAACCAGTGACCTTTTGGTTCATAGTCTGGTGTTCAATCCACTGAGCCATACCAGCCAGGATGTGACAGCTGTTTTAAATTCCCAGTCTGCTAGTTCTTGGATCTCCACTGATTGCCTTTTCTTCTGTGTATGATGCACTTTTTCCTCTTTCTTTTTATGTCTGCTGTTTTGGATTTTATCCTGGATGCTATAAATAATGTAACATATTGTAGAGACTCTAGATTCTGTTACATACTTGGAAGAGTATTGATTTTTTTTTTTTAAAGAAGTTAACTTGACTGAAATTTCAAACTGCCATTAGAGGTTCTTTCCAATATTCATTTACTGCTGTCAGATGATCCTCTAAAAATGCTGGGCTAAACTTCTGCCCCTGACCCCTTAGAAAATGGTCTAACTTTTATAGAGTTCACTGCAGGCAGTCCCACTAGACTATGGCTGAAGCTTTAGGTAGTATGCCCTAAAAACACGCTGTACCCCTTTCCCTTATCATTCCTATCTTGTTATTTTGTCAGTATTAAGGAACTGGCTTTTAGTCTGAAATACCCAAAACATAGCCAATTTTTATGTCTTTTTTTGCATGCAGGACTTTGCATCTCTAAGCCATATGTGATCTCCTTACTGGAGCAAGGGAAGGAGCCTTGGGACATGAAGAGTGCGATGACGAGCCCATTCCCAGGTGAGTGGGGGACAACTAGGTAGGGGAATCCTTTCTAGGTAACAGCTCAGCCATTTTTAAAGGTGATACCTCTTCTTTTATGCCTCTTAGAAGTCTCCTCAAGCCTTCCAGGTCCTAGGGGATGGTTGAAATATTACTCCTTAGCACGGGCTTTTCAGATCTCTTCCACTTGGTCTCCTAATAACTCATTTTGCAAAAATCTTTATCCAGCTCCTTTCTATCCCCTTTCATTTAGTCATACAGACATATATAAGCTTCTTGGTTTCTCAGATGTTTCTTAATCCAAAATTAGGTGCTACTTGCAATTATGACATACTCTGCTGCTTTAAATCTTTCTTTGGTTTCCCATTACAAATAAGAAAAATGCAAACTCTATCAGGCCATATGTGATGAGCAATTTTCTACTTCTCCAACTTCATCTCTCTCACTTTTTATCTTTTCCATTATAAGTTAGTCCAGAGTTTTCTTGGTATGCCAGGCACTAAGGTATGTTTCAAGTATGTTATAGGTATGTAAAGGTAAGATAGGAGTTTCTAAGCCTTGGAGACCAAATGAGTCTAGTGTTTATGCACATTTACTCCTTTTTCAAGACATCATCTAGGCCTGGCTGGGTAGCTCAGTTGGTTAGAAGATTGTCCAATATGCAGGGCTGTGGGTTTGATCCCTGGTCAGGGTACATACAAGAATCAACCAATGAATGCATAAATAAGTGGAACAACAAATCACTGTTTCTCTCTTTTCTTCTCTCTTCTCTCTCTCTAAAATCAGTTTTAAAAAAGACATTGTCTAGATGACAAGGTAAGAAAGATACTTATGTGTCAGTTAAAAAAAATGAAATTAAAAATAGTGATGCCCGCCCTGGCTAGTGTAGCTCAGTGGATTGAATGTGGGCTGCAAACCAAAGGGCCACCGGTTGGATTCCCAGTCAGGGTATATGTCTGGGTTGCAAGCCAGGTCCCCAGTGGGGCCACATGAGAGGCAAACACATATTTACATTTCTCTCCCTCTTTTTCTCCCTCCCTTCCTCTCTCTCTAAAAATAATTATAAATATAAATAAAACAAAAAAAATAGCAATGCCAACCTATTATTATAAAACCAGTATCTTCAGAAGCACGCATGGTGAAATCCCATTAAGATGTGACCTGAGAAGTGACACCTTTCCTGAACTAGCGAAAGTGAAAAGATGGCCCTGGGTGGTGTGGCTCAGTGGATTGAGTGCTGGCTCTCAAACAGAAGGGCCATTGGTTTAGTTCCCAGTCAGGGCACATGCTTGGGTTGCGGGCCAGGTCCCTAGTAAGGGGTGTGCAAGAGGCAACCACACATTGATATTTCTCTCCCTGTCTTTCTCCTTCCCTTCCTCTCTCTAAAAGTAAATTAAAATTTTAAAAAAATAAAAATAAAAGATAAAAAAATAAATAAGTGAAATCTAAGAAAAAAAGAAAGTAAAAAGATGAATGGGAAAATTCCTTAATATGTCACCTCAAGTTCAAGATGTGTGAGAAATGAAGAGTGCACTGTTTTGAAGCACATAGAGATGGTTCACAGGGATACTATTTTCTGTGTATGAAAAGATAACTCCAGGAGTTCACCTAAACCCCAAGGGACATCACAAAGCATGAGATTTTTGTGGTTGTTGTGAACTGTAGAGATTTTCAAACATCAGTAGGAATAATGTTTTTGTGATGATATTCATATTTTAAAATAATTAAGCTATTATGCAGATCAGTTAGAAGTAGAGAATCGAGGACGGTAACTTGCCTTATTATGTTACATTTAATTTTCTTAATCACCTGTTTCACATTCCTCTATGATTTTTCAGTCTCCAGGATCTTCTCGCATATTTTTCAGTTGACATGCCTGTACATAATACGTTTTGTGGGATTCATTATTTTTGAATTACCTATTCCATGTTAAATATTTCCTTTGTTATAATCCATAAAAGGAAACATTTGCTTTTTTGTTGTCTTTCAGATTGGGAATCTAGCTATGAGACACAAGAATTATCTCTGAAGCCATGCATGTATGATGATGATGTGTTAATGGAGAACATTACAAGCTATGGACTTGAGCATTGCATTTTTGGAGAAAACTGGAAAGCTAGAGATTTTTTTGAGAGGCACCTGGTAAGTCAAGAGTCATTTATCAGACAAGAAACACTCACTTACAAAAAAACCCTTACTTATGAAGTACACCACAAATACAACAAATCTGGGAAATTTGTCCATCTAGATTATGCAGGAGAGACTGTTTATAATCACAGGTCTGATATAAAAAGTTTTTCCAAAAATTCCATGATAAAGAAACACAAAAGAGTCTATGGAGGAAAGAAACTTTTCAAATGTAACGAATGTGAGAAAACCTTCACCCAGAGGTCATCTCTTACTGTTCATCAAAGAATCCATACTGGTGAAAAGCCGTATGAATGTAAAGAATGTGGAAAAGCCTTCAACCAGAGTCAACACCTTGCTCAACATCGCCGAACACATACCGGAGAGAAACTCTTTGAATGTAAAGAATGTAGGAAAGCCTTCAGCCAAAATGTACACCTTATTCAACATCAAAGAATTCATACTGGAGAAAAACCATATAAATGTAAGGAATGTAGAAAAGCCTTCAGCCAGCCTGCACACCTTGCTCAGCATCGGAGAATTCATACTGGAGAGAAGCCCTATGAATGTAAGGAATGTGGAAAGGCATTCAGTGATGGCTCCTCCTTTGCCCGACATCAAAGATGTCACACTGGCAAAAGACCCTATGAATGTGTTGAATGTGGGAAAGCCTTCAGGCAGAATGCATCCCTTATTCGTCACTGGAGATATTATCACACCGGGGAGAAACCCTTTGAATGTGTCAACTGTGGGAAAGCCTTCAGTGATCACATAGGCCTTATTCAACATAGGAGAATTCATACTGGAGAGAAACCCTACAAATGTGATGTGTGTGGGAAAACCTTCAGCTATGGCTCATCCCTTACTGTACATCAGAGAATTCACACAGGAGAGAAACCTTACAAATGTGATGTCTGTGGGAAGGCCTTTAGCCATCACGCATCACTCACTCAACATCAAAGAGTGCATTCTGGAGAGAAACCTTTTGAGTGCAAGGAGTGTGGGAAAGGCTTTAGGCAGAGTATACACCTTGCTAGTCATCTGAGAATTCATACTGGTGAAAAACCCTATGAATGTAAGGAATGTGGGAAAGCTTTCAGCATCAGTTCACAGCTGGCCACTCACCAGAGAATTCATACTGGAGAGAAGCCCTATGCATGCAAGGAATGTGGTAAATCTTTCAACCAGAGGGCACACCTTGTACAACATTATAAAATTCATACAGGAGAGAAACCCTACGAGTGTAATGAATGTGGTAAAGCCTTCAGCCAGACTGCCCGCCTCATTCAACATCAAAGAGTTCATACTGGAGAAAAACCCTATCAATGTACTGAATGTGGAAAAGCTTTTAGTGATAGTTCATCCCGCGCTCAGCATCAGAGACTTCATACTGGCCAAAGGCCCTATGAATGTGTTGACTGTCAGAAGACATTTAGGACAAAGTCATCCCTTATTTGTCATCAAAGATGTCACACTGGTGAGAAACCTTATGAGTGTAGTGCATGTGGCAAAGCCTTTAGCCATCGTCAGTCCCTTACTGTTCATCACAGAATTCATTCAGGAGAGAAACCATATGAATGTCAGGAATGTAGGAAAACCTTTAGCCAGACTGGACACCTTAATCTACATAAAAGAGTCCATACTGGAGAGAGATCTTACAAATGTAAGGAATGTGGAAATGTCTTCAGACAAAGTGTATACCTTGCTCAACACCAGAAAATTCATGCTGTAGAGTCTGCTCAGTCAGCCAGCTTTTCCTCATCCCTTATACCACCAAGTCCTGTGGATATATCTGCTAAATATTTTTGGAATTCATCCACTTATTTCAGTTCTCATTGCCCTAGTCCAAAACCGAGTCCTTTTTCCTGGACTATTCCAATTGTATAAGAACTGGTTTCCTTGCATCCTCTTTTGTCCCTCTTTTGAATCCCCTTGAAATTCATTGTTCACACTACTACCACAGCATTATTTTTAAAATGAAAATGTAATAATATTACTTTCCTCCTAAAACCCTGCTAAGAAATTTATTTTTTTTAATATTTATTTATTTATTTTTAGAGAGGAAGGGAAGGAGAAAGAGAGAAACAGCAATGTATGCTTGCTTCTCATGTGCCCCTTACAGGGGACATAGCCCACAACCCAGGCATGTGCCTTGGAACCCTTTGGTTCACAGGCTAGCGCTTAATCCACTGAGCCACACCAGCCAGGGCGTGTTAAGAAATTTTAAACTAGTCAATGCATATAAAGTGCTTAGCATAGTGCCTGACTCTTTCGTGCTTATTTAATGTTGGGTCAGTAATCTTAAGAGTCTGTTTTAATAAAACAGTAAACTCTGGAAAACAGTATATCAGTACCGGGATATCATAACAGGTTTGGAACTCAAATGCCATCTTTGATGGATGATGAAGATTAGCATTGGTATGTTTAAAGCTTGGTGTTGTAATAGTTAAAGAGTGGGTTTCTCATGAATCTGAGGCTGTGTTCTTCTGTTCGTGAGGAAATTCAGTATGACCTGATGAATAGTATATGTTACAGGTCGTGTTTGGAGCTCTGGATAAGACGAGAACCAATGAATTAGAATTTGCTGGGAAAAATTAATATTTAGTCCAGGAAGAGAAATAAATGTTACTAATAAAATTAAAGACATAGAGAACTTAAATAATCTAGCCCCTTTTCAAGTTGCCAGTAATTAAGCTGTTATAGAGTATAGAAAAATATATTTGAAATATTACATTTTTGTCATGAGGCTAACTCATCTGTGATGTCAACCCCAGAATAAAATGAAATTATAGATGAATTTACTCACAGTTATATATAGAAGGGAAATTATTACCCTCTACTGAAGAAGAACAGAGACTTGGGATAAATGGAGATCTATACAGATTTTTAGGTGGAATTTTCAACATTGTATAGATGTCTGTACATTCACTCAATTGCAGTCACAATCTTTGTATGATATTTTTGCATTGACTGTTTTCTGAAATTCATGTAGGATAGTAACTGGGCAGGCATCTCAAAAAATTTTTGAAAAAGATCACATACCCATCAATTTAGTATATTACAAAAATGGTATTTTTGACGTGTCATTGAGAGAGATGGATTATTTAAATGTTTGACAAGTAGTTCTCTAATTAGAAATAAAGTCAGATCTACATGTTATCCCTTACAGACAATTGCATTAACTATGGATTAGAGATGTAACAAAAGACACATATGAAGATTCAGGAGCAGAATGCAGAATATTTCTACCATTTTGGGTTGAGGAAGAAGACTTTGGTAAACAGAACACAGAGTTTAGGAGCCATAAAGAGAAGTGACATGTAGGACCATGTAAAAAATTTAAACCTTTTCCATGGTATAAGTCACTGTATGCAACGTTAACAGGTACAGAACAAGCTGAGAGATAGTTCAAATGTATATCATGAAGGATGTAGCCCTCATCAAAAGTACTATTGGAAACCAGCAAGGATAAGATAAAATATACAGTCCGGCAAAGCATACCAACTAGCAACTCTTCCATGAAGAACTTAAAACAATCAAATAAAATAAAGTCCTTAATAATACTAATTACCAGATAAGTGCAAAATTTAGAAGTCCTCACTAACAACATCCAACCCATGTGAATGTATAGGGTGACTAATATTTTCAGACCAAAGTACTCAAACATCTTCCATCTTGAGTAATTCAGTTCTCAGACATGTTGTTCATGGAAAAAATGTCTCAGTTGCTGAACACAAGTTCGGTTCTTGACCTTACAACTCTCTCATGCTGATACCTGTATGATGGGTCACACTTCTCTCAGGAGACAAAGGAGAGAATGTCTGAATATGACAATGATTTGGTTTTCAAGCAAACTGCTTCTTGAACAGCCTTCTAGAATGAATTAACTTCTAGATATCACTGTATCCAGTACTGTTGCAGATGTGAGAAATGATGTTTTTATACATTGGGAGGCTAAATTGTTGGAAAACCACTTTAGAGGGCAATGTGGCATTAACTGTCAACATTGTAAATGTATTTAATTAATTATTGTCACAATTCTACATCTAGGCATTTAACTTAAAAGTACAAGTGCAGAAATATACACACATAAGCACATTTATTATAGAATTGTAAATTACTTAGAACAGCTATAATGCCCAACACTAGTAAACTGTTTACTTAAATTATGGAAAATTGGTTCAAGAGATGATTATGCAGAATAAGACATCTCTATACTCACAGAAAGTGTTTGTAGTTTATTAATTGAAAATTTAATTTCTGTGACTATATAATATAATATGGCAGTTTTAAATATATAAACTATAAAGTTAAAATTATAAAAATGTATATATATCAGATAGTTTTTCTCTACAGTACAAATAAAAAACAAACAATTTTACACAAATTTCTTTGCTGAGCCACTTTGACCCACTTTGATATCATTCTATAAGGTTTTGCTCGTGTTAGCAGTTGTACAGGGTTCACTTTAATCCAATCACATACTCTCCTTGGTACACAGGCGGGAGATGATATGAACATCATTTGGCCACAATTCAAAGATGGTGCATAAGTTCCTGCTGTTCTTGCTAGAGGTAGCCTTGTACGTGTTCTTACCAGCTTGTATCCCAGCAGTAGTTTCTTCTCCTTATAAAATGAGATTAAATTATTTTGCTGTCAATCAAGGAAACCCAACCAATAGAAAAATTGGTAGTATAGGGTATGTTTCATGCAAAAGATCCTCAGAAAATGTGGATTATTGTTAAAGTTTGTTATTGGGTGAAATGGAGTAAAAGTTGCTGGGTCCTAATCTTCCTGTCAGGAAAGCATGCACTGATAGCAGCAGTCAGCTGTGGTCTAGCTCACTGTTGCCTTAAACCAATAGAAAGAGTACAAGATGTGCCAGTGTAAGGAATATGTGTGATGCCTGTCCATATGGAATTGGGTAATATAAAGTAAAAGAAAGGATGACTTACAGTTTAAAAATTTTGCTTTAAGGCATGAACTAGAATGCAAGCCATGTTTGTAACATAGTTGTCTAGTTGATTTCTTCCTTGTAGCACTGTATTTATGATTGCTAAATGTCACAGTGCCAATAAAACTCACTGTTTTGTTTGGCATTGTGGTTACTGAAATGAGGGTTTGGGAGAATTTGGGATGTTGTAACTCCAAACCCCAAGAAACCTTAAGGACCCCTGCCAACTAAAGCTCCATTGTTTAAGATAGTTATGGATGAAGGTTAATGAATTTTCCATATTATGGAAAAATCACTGAAGCCAATGATTATGGCTTCAGTGATTTTTTTTAAAGAAAAAACTTTTTATTTCACATTTTGAGTATTTCAGTTAGATGAAGTCAGGTTTTTTCACTCTACTGCCTTTCAGATAGATTCATAAAAACATAACTCAGGAAAGACTTAAACTCTTGGGCTGAGACTTTTTTCCCCATTTTACTTTTATAGTAGGTTAAGAATAAATATTCTTTACAATAAAAGACAAAGTTTGTTATATTGGTTTCCATTCACAAAACTATTGTTGGCACTTTTTCTTTCTACCCTGAACCTAAAAAAAGCATAATTTTAACCAAAGCTGAATAAAAGTATTTGAGGTTTAGAACAATTTTATTATTATTTTTATTCAGATGAAGTTATTCCTAGTATAGTAAGCATTTTTTTCTTAAATTACAGATCCATCTTGGATTTTATCAGATGCATTTTCCTCTCGTATTTAGATGATTAAAGGATTTTAAAAATCTTTTTTATTTTTTTAAGATTTTATTTATTTATTTTTAGAGAGGGAAGGGAAGGAGAAAGAGAGAGAAACATCAATGTGCGGTTGCTGGGGGTCATGTCCTGCAACCCAGGTATGTACTGGGACTGGGAATCGAACCTGCGACACTTTGGTTTGCAGCCCGCACTCAATCCACTGAGCTATGCCAGCCAGGGCTTAAAGGATTTTTTTCACTTTTTGTTTATTAATGATGACTTTCATTAACACATTTCCCACCCTGGCACTCCTATGACGTATTCTTGTAAATGAATAGAACTTCAGCTAACTCCGATAATGCTATGTAGAGGGTTTTAAAAGGTCATGAGGGGTGGTACTTGTGCCTGGGATGTTGGGCAGCCTTCTCTGAGATGACTAGTGAATGACACCAAGGAGCCACCCAGGTGGAAAAAGTTTGAAGCAAATGAATATTATTTTTAAAATTAAGATAATATACAGAGTTGCAAAGAAAATAAAATCATAATCCTACCACTGGTAACATTTTGGCCAACGTACCTGTCTGTATACAGAGCTATTCTTTTTATAAAAATAAGATTATAATATATTGATGTTATAAAATACATTATAAAGTATAATATATACTTCATAATTTGGGTTTTTAAATGTAACATTATGGGTAACTTTAATGATGTTAATAATTCATTGGATTGCTTCAGACCTAGCGTCGGCGAGTAACGTGGACAGCCGCCTTTGAAGGATAGGTGTGGCAGGTAGGGAGGCCGGAGTGTCGGGGAGTAGGGACCGCCCGGGGTCAAAGTGCGCTTCGGACACACGAAGTCCCAATCTCTCTCTCTCTCTCTCTCTCACACACACACACACCGTTAAACTCTGGTACCTGGCATCGCCCAGCATTGCTGCCCCCTATTCTGACAACGGTGCCACCCCGAAAGACGATCCTCCAAGGACCACCGGACCACCGTACTTGCCCCGCCCACCATAGTGTCCGTTCTCCTTGAGGCCCCGCCCTCGCCTAGCAATCGCGCCCGCCGCTCCTACGCCAGCGCGCCTCCCAGAGTCCCCTGGGGCGCGGCTCTGTAACGCAGGGTGGCCTGTACGCCTGGGGCTTCGCGGACGGACGCCGTGTGATCGCGGAGTGGACCTGCGCCTCGCAGTCAACGCTCCACGCGACGCCTTCAAGACCGTGGCGGGACTACGTTTCCCAGAGGGCGCGGCGGCGGCCCGCCCACTTCCTACCGCGGCTCTCCGCCGGCTCTCGCGAGCCCTGCGGGGCGTAGGTCTAGTCGGCCGGAGTCCACACGGGGCGGGGACAGGGCCGCAGGGGGCCGGGAGTGCCTAGCGTGGGTGGGTGTGTTCCTAGAGACATGCGAGGGGCGGCA